TAAACTTACAAACAAAATTTAATTCTATGAAATCTATATCAAATAAATAGCCTTTTAGACTTACAAGCAATTTTTTAACTTGTGAAATACTTGTACGTGAAAGTTCAATCGACAACAGCACACAAACAAGCCTATTTCATAGGCGAGCTCTTCATACAAAAAAAAACTATAATCGAGAAGTTATGGAAAGAAAAAAATGGACATAGCAAGAATCTCCCATTCAGACTGTAGAGGACCTTTTCCTCTACAGCCCCAGGTTCTACAAAAGCGAAAAAGAAAACTTCAAGATAAAGCTGGAACACCCGAAAGCCAAACTCGATATCAAGGACTATACTCAATGGTGAGCCATGCATTAGTACGAAAACTGGGTGCTGAACTCCCCTACACTCATCTGCTTTTCTTCGTGACCATTACAATATAAAAGAATGAGTTATACTAACTATTTTTGTTACTGGGTCGGAGGCGGTGTAGTGGCTAGTGGCGCACTGTCACACACGCATGGTCTCGGGTTCGAATCCTGGATCGACGTTCGCTCACGCCAACCGAGCCTTTCATCCCTCCGGGTTCTCTTCATTGGTACTAGAATCGTCTGGCGAGGATAAAAGCACTGACTTTTACATCGGCTGGCCACCGCAAGTCATTGCATTAGCCATGAAACTTGCGGCTGGCCACCGCAAGTCATTGCATTAGCCATGAAACTTTTCAATGAGCCACTACGATTCTGAATTGAAGTCGAGTGCGGGGCGCATTCCTCAAACGGGATTGATCTGCTCTCTCCCTTAGAAAACTTCAGTTTCAATTACATAACCCTGCCAAAATGCAAAAGTAAAAAATGCTTCTCCCCAAGCATAAGATAAGTAATAAAGTCTTTAGCGTTATATAATTCCGTTTTTGGGATGCGCCCCGCTTTCAACTTCAATTCAGAATCGTCGTAGCGGTTTGGATATGCTGCCAATACAATAACTAACATTGTCTAGTTGATATACGAAGTCAGTGCTTTTATCCTGCCAGACACGTCTCGCACCAGCTAAACGACTCCGAAGACCCAAAAGACTAGGTTGACTTGTGCTGATGTCAATCCAAGATTCGATCCCCGGGCCATGCATGCCTAATAATGCGCCACTTGCCACTACACCTCCTCCACCCACCTCAAATTCAAAGTACTAAAACGGACTTTTAGGAGCCCTCCTAGAAATGCTTCGTATATGACTCCGTTTGAAAGTAGTCTTACAGTCTTATACGGAAGCAATGTACAAAAATTAGACTGGCCATTTTTAGTTGATTTCGTATCTTGAGTTTACGGTAGTACTGCTTGACTGAGGCCATTGCTGATCAGATACGGTTGAATGAGGTCGGCTCCGATCACTTCCACTTGAATACGGCCGGTACTGATCCGCTCTGCTTGATTGAGTACGGTACTGATCAGATGCGGTCGAATGCGGCTGGCCCGGATAACTCCCATTTGAATGAGGCCGGTACTGATAACTTCCATTCGAATGAGGCCAGTACTGATCCGCTCTGCTCGATTGAGGCCGGTACTCATCAGTAAGGTTTGATTGAGGCCGGCTTTGATAATTTCCATTTGAAAGAGGCCGGTAATGATCCGCTCTGCTTGACTGAGGCCGGTCCTGATAATTTCTATTTGAATGCGGCCGGTACTCATCGGCTCTGCTTGACTGAGGCCATTGCTGATCGGTTACGGTTGAATGGCCCTGATAACTTCCACTTGATTGAGGTCGATACTGAGCACTCGCGTTCGGGTGAGGACGATATCTATCACTTCTGCTTGAAGGAGGCCGTCTACTCTCGTTCTTAGCCCTTGTTCTCACGTGATCACTGACTCGACATTCGGGGCTCGATATCTGAATGTAAACGTCCTTGAGGTTTTCCTAGGTAAAATCGGCATAAACAAAACTCACGGGGAAGTCTTCACGGGGTTCCAAAGTCCGAATGATCTCTACAAAAGTCCAGGGCACTTCTTTGTTGAAATCGTTGAAACGTAAGGTACCAACCATCCTGGAACTAACAGATTACACTGATTTTTACAGTATAAAGCAACGTGTCGAAAAAAGTAACGGTCCCTTTGCCGTAAGCTCTCTTCATCATTGTAAAACGTGAGCATATTGAACAAGCGACGTTCTGTGAAGTAGTACTTAACGGTAAAGATCCATTTCTAACAACACTGACAGCTACGTCTGCTAGGCTACGCTTGGCGAAAAAAGTTGGCATAACATCAAACAGACCGAGGATGTTTCATTACATTTACTTAGGAGGAGGTGGCATGGTGGCAAGCGGAGCACTAGCACATAAGTATGATACAAGGATCGAATCCTAGATCAATATCCGCCCAGGCCAAACAGGCTTTACGTCCCTCCCGCGTCGGTTAGTTAGTACCAGACTCGTCTGGGAAGATAAGAGTATTTTGGCTGACCCCCACAAGCCATTGTATAAGCCACATACGCATCCAAACCTTCACCACGATCCTCAATGGAAGTCAAGCGCGAAGGCGCATCCAAAAGGGGATTGGTTGATGGCAGAGACTTTTTTTTAGATTACTTAGGATTCGAGTTTAAGGCACCACTGTGAATGTAAAGTGTGCATGATGGGTCCCGGAACTATGTTTTCCTTTTCAAGCTTCCCCCCTCCCCCGAGTAAATTAGCTGGTGCGGGGAACGTCTGGGCAGATCGGTATTACATCAGCTGGCTTCAAAGCAAGCAAATGGCAACTTTCCAACGAAAAAAAGACTATACAGGACATTTAAGCAACACGAAATTCAAAAATAATATTCAAATGTAACTGACCTTTGTGAAGAAATCATGTCATATGCTTCCTGCTCCATCTCGATCTTTCCCACATATGGATTTTCCGCTATCACCATGCCGTTGGCCAATTTTTCAACGAGACTTATATCAAGTTGCAATTCAATCTGGAACATGAGTAACACTTCAATTTTTTATCTTCAAATTTAAGAAAATTTAAAGTAAAAACAGAGGTTAAAGCGTGGTTACGGAAAATGACAAACCTGAAGGATATCACGTACCCAATAGGTGTACGCTAAGGGATCAGCTGGTTCATCAACTCTTTTAACATAGAAAAATAGTCCTGATTCAGTTTCACGGGAGCTGAAAAAACCCTTTCTAACACGCACAAAGCCGGAAAACAGATAACTAAATGTGGAACGAGTAGCGGTATTCATCCCCGATTACGCACCGCCAACGACAGCGGTGCCGCGGCGGCTACCGTGCCCTTTCACTGGGAACTCGAACCTTTCCCTCCATTCACATAGCCTGCGCGCTATCGGGTGCGCCGAGTGCGACGCGATTTTCGGGGAAAACGTACCACAATCACCCCACATGGAATAGCAGTTACCGTATATTGGCATAAAACCAGTCTCCTCTCTTCAGTTTTGATCCAGTTTGCTTGACGTACGTCTCTTCAACTAGAATACATCCATATTCCGCATTCCATGCTTTGGTTTTGATTTTATCGGCACGAATGCAAAGCATTAGGTTCTAAAAATAATTCTATCGAAATCATACTTCTAGTTCATACCATTCCACTTGTTATTCAAGGTCTTCGCTTTGATCAGTTCTATCTCTACTTACAGTATTGATGATATTCAAATGGAATACTTTCAAAGTAACGAAGGTAACGAATAACTGCCATGTGGTACACGAACCGACTCTTCACCCCTCCCCACTGTTGAACCTATGTAAAAATAGCTATGTATACCCTTTGATTCGATTGAGGCAATGGTGCAGCATGGCCCCTACGGAATTTGAACTTTCCTCTCTTTCGTACTTCGGAATTGTTGTATATTCGTGCCGAATACGGACCTTCTGAAATAAAGACGTATATCAGGTGATCGTTCGGCATAATAAAGGTTGAAGTCTTTGGGCGTCAATCAATCCCGTCTGAGGGATGCGCCCCGCATTCGACCACCATTCAGAAACGTAGTGGCGTACTGAATGCGTATGTGGCCGATACAATGAATTGCGGCGGCCAACCGATAAACAAGTTTGTTCATTTATCCTCCCAGACAAGTTTGCTACCAATTAACCGACCCAGGAGGGATGGAAGACTTGTTTAACCAAGAGGGGGGATATCGATCCAGGATTTGAACCCGTGACCATGCTGTGTGAAGTGTTCCACTTGCCACTACACCACATCTGCCATAACTATACGCGTAATGAAACAAATGAGCAGGCACATATGTTGATCTCATTTAATCGTAACAAGACCCCTTACCTTATACATGTTCAAGATGGTGGTCCTGACGCGACTAGCGGAGGTCAGGCGCTGCGCGCCGCTCCCGCCTAAGTCTAGGGTGTAAGAAGAAACCACGCCGACTACATCCAAAAAAAGGAAACGTACCGTCTACGCCGAATCCTTTTTGACCAATGACTGGACGATTCTCCTCACTTTCTTTCTCAACTTTTTTTTTTGCAGAAGTAATCTTTGCGAACAATCTGTCCTGTGAAAATAACTTCATGAAGAGAGGTTCATTATCTGACAGAGGCAGTCTCTGCTAAGAAGCACCTGGTCTTCAAAGAGCTGAATTTGGCAGCGTTGAACTACATCCTTATCAGCGACCGGCTTCAAAGTTTCACAAATTCGGAATTCTACGGCATAGGAAGCAGCCAACCTCGAACCATCTCTGAACAGGGAAAACAAATTCAAAAAAGCGATTATTTCAGCAATGGTCCCCCTATCTTTGGGTTACTTTCAACTAAAAAGCAAAAAACTTTCTACTTGTGTTATCCGAGAAAAACTCCTTTACACAAAAACCAAAAAACCTTATCTACTTTAAATTGGGTGACCCTTCGACTATGCCTTCAATCAGGCTGAATTTGTCAAGAAACCCGAGGAAAGTGTACAAAAATTTTTTCAAAATCCCTTTAAAGACACAGTTCGCGATAATTCAATGGGCGGGCACGTCAATGACGTGTCCGCCTCTCATTCGACGCCACGTCAGACTGTCTGACGTGACATCGAATGAGAGGCGGACACGTCATTGACACACCCACCCATTGAATCATCGCGAACCGTGCTTTTAAATTTTACACCAAAGTTATACGTCGAATGAACATGAGCGGCGCAGCGACGGTAGGAGGAGACTAAACCCAAAACTGCGCTACGTAATCTCCGCCTGCCCTCGCTTTGGGGAAAACTGGTGAAGATTTAAGTGGTAAAGGTCCCTGTCGTCAAATCCATTACAATGTGATCATCAACACTTGATTTTACAAAAGTAAAAGTGACAAAACAAATGTTTACCGATGTCAATCACCTTCGGACGTAAGTCGAATATATGGTAGTTGTTGCAAGCTTCTCCTCGTTTGCATACAGTACTCTTCCAAACTTATCCGACCAGAGAACAATTCCTTCATGGCTTTCATGATGAATACACATAGAGGCACCAACATAGGTTTTCATCTATAAAAGTGAACCATGGCAACAAAAAAAACGTATTTAAGAATACATCCAGAAAATTCTGTTCATGCTCAAAGGCACAGTTCGCGATAATTCAATGGACGGGCACGTCAATGACGTGTCCGCCTCTCATTCGACNTGATGAATACACATAGAGGCACCAACATAGGTTTTCATCTATAAAAGTGAACCATGGCAACAAAAAAAAACGTATTTAAGAATACATCCAGAAAATTCTGTTCATGCTCAAAGGCACAGTTCGCGATAATTCAATGGACGGACACGTCATTGACATACATGCCCATTGAATCATCGCGAACCGTGCCTTTAAGTGCTTCGTGAATTTTGATACCAACATAAAAAAATAGGACGATTATTGATTACACAACACTAACCAAGCCTTCTGGGATGCGCTATGCGTACGACCTCCACACGAGAACGTAGAAGACTTTAAATGCCTACCTACGTGTGCATTGAACTTGTGGGAACCAGGAGAAATAGGAATTCACTGGGAAACCTGCAACTAATGGACCGGCAACTACGAGATCAAGGTTATATCAACTCTGTGGTATTCGATCTTACAGTAGAGCGATGTAATGCACGGATAGATCAATATTACCGGAAAAATCGACCGATGAGCAAATGAACAGCAAATAACATAGCAAAACATTGGATCCCTACTTGGACTTATCAATACCTCAACATCGAAAATTCGGATTTTCCCCCTTTCACCGCTAGGCGATGGAAGTCGATTTAGCTCTGAAAAAGCCAGTCTATACTGACTTACTGTACATTTAACTGGCAATAATTCAACTGTACCCCGAATTGAAATTTAACAAGGAATCCAGGGACAGGTTAGCGGACCGCCTTAAATCAGAGGTGAAATAAAATTCACGTACTATAACGAATCCATCTCTGCTAAGGAAAATGTCCCCTTTTTCGGCATCAGGAGGGTTTCCATCTTTCTTCGCGATGTTCACGTCATACACTCCATCAGAGTTCGTGTTCTTTATTGTAAATGTCACCCTCCAGCTTTTACAGAGCCTAAATTTCCAGAACTAACCTTGAAGAAAAGTACATGATTGAGAGTCACTTCAAAAATTTCACCAAAAAATCAAAAATGCAACTCGAACGACACTTTTCCAAGCATAACAGGAGAATAGAAAACGCACCCCTCATCAGTTCTGATTCTGAGCAATTTTTTCTGATCGAAGCAAAAGCATTCGAAGACATGGGCTCCGTCTGGTGCTTGGCAGACGTCCAATATGACACCATGAAAGACTTCATCTAAACGAAATAAACAATAGCTGAGAAAACCTCTTCATATCCGAAAAGCGACAACCTGCCTTTATCTTTGATTTCAAGTTTATTCATCAACAACGTAGCGGTCAGCAATTCCTTAAGAAGCAACATAACAGAACAGAATGCTGAATAATAACGTCAAATTAAAAGGCAAACCTGAGAAGTTTGAACCTTTAATTGCCCCTATATGACCCCATACAAAACTACTCTGTATTAACTAAAGCAATGCCGCACCTAGGCATCCCACATTAGTCAAAGTAAGTTGATCCCAGAAATCAGCCCTTTCGGAATTTTCAAAAATATTCTTCAACAAATTCCCCTTTCAACAGTCATAAATAAAAGCAAACATTAAGAATGTAGAATAAATTGGCCCGATTAAGATTAGCATAGAGAATGCTAGGTATAAAAACGGAAACCCACAACCGTCATCCGAGTCCACAGTAATCCGAGTGAGGGCCCTGGCCCAAACGTCTGGTTGTGACGTAACAGCTGGCGACCCTACACACCCACAAAATTTGTTGTTCTCTTCAATGGGATACCATTCGAGACCTATCCTTTCTGAAGCATGTTGAGGCAAAGACAAGAATCCATGGGTACCCCTTGCTTACGTGCGAAAATCCTATGCTGGGGTATTTTCGACCTCTACGGATCAGTTGAAAGATTTAAAACTACAACATTCGGTATTGTCTGCAACGCTCTGATAAGGAAAACTTCAAACCATCTTACAAGTAATGCATAATGAGTAAGGCAGGATGGCAAGTGGAATAAACAAAACTTAAAAAACTTTAAAAAATTCGAAATGTTAACAAAAACTCACCCGAACAGGCTGTTCAACATTTCCAAACGCATCGGTACTGGAGTTGGCCTCCGCGTTCAAGATATCCTGTAATCTTTTTCGAAACTCTAAAGTAGAATATAGACGTATACAAGTATAAATACCTGGTCTGCCAACATCTGATCCTGACAACGCTTAATCGTATCCTCATCGATAACTTTCTTAAGAAGGTCACTTATCCGGAACGCAACCCCTTTCGCAATGGCTTCCTTCGAAGTGTCCCTGAAGGCAGAAACGCGACTAACGCCTTCAAGGACAGGTGATTCAGCCATAAAACCAACCTCTCAACATAAGTTGAATATATCGCTGATTTTTCAAGAGGTCCATCGTCTTGGCCCCTGCGTACTCTTTGAAATTTATCTGACCATAGGATTTTTTCATCGTAACTTTCGTGTTGTGGGCATTCACTGGCACCTACATACGTTCTGATCTGAAAAATAACCAGTTTAAAATGCGCGGCATTCCCAAAGAAAGCAATCCGTTGAAATTGACGATATATTAAGAGATATTCGCATGCTAATTTGGGCAAAAATGCCTCAAATCGATTAGTGCCCGAATGGCCGTGAAACAAAAGCGAAATGAGAATTTATTTGACTACAACGGCCTTTCGCATACTACTTTACTGATTATTTATTCGCTTGAAAAGGAACGATATTAAAAACTAGTCAACAGTATCTAAAAGAAAAGCAAACCGTTCTGATTCGCAGTTTCCGTTTGCACGTTGAGAAATTGGGTATTACAAAATAAAAATAAAAACATGAGGTGAGCAGTACTGAGTCGTACAAAAAGCATCTGACGAAAAACTTGAGCCGTCCACTCTTTTCTCAGGAATTTCTGGAGCATAACATATCAGGAGGACTCACGATATCGCCATCGGTTAACCAGATTCAGGGTCAGTTTTTGATCTTTTTGTTTCAGGCCGTGACGGATAGTGAGGAGGTGTGCACAGAAAGCTTTGAATGAGATTCAAGGACAGAAGCCTGAGGCAAATTTCAACGGGTTTCAGCAGCGAGCAGGGCAGTTTGGGGCTCGTAAGGAAGTACGTATTGAGTATGTATAGACAATTCGGTCATTATACGGTTAAATAAGCAAGGAAGCGGTTACCCAAAGTTTCTATGAAGGACACTCCCACGCGTATACACAGGGATATGTATTGCGTTTCAGGGAGGAAACTTGTTCGAAACCTAGAGGAAATCCAGGAACAAACTGGGCTAATTCGAAAGTTTCAACAGATACTTTCCGTACAAAAAGTGAAACTGAAAGTGGAAAAGGCATCAGAAACCAATCAAAATCGTAACCTACTCTGACGGCCCCATCCCGGCCCAAGACAACTTCTCCTTTCGTCTCCATCGGCGAGTTCTCAGAGACTTTTTCGATGTTGACATCACATATACCATTATCATCTCTAGACTTAATTGAAAACGTGATCTCCCAGCTTTTACATAACCTGGAATAGACAGCGCTCTGAAGATATTGTAAACCTGCTCAAAGGAAACGCAATCTTGAGAGCAACGATCATAAATCACTCAAAAAACCAATAGGAGTAAAAACATCGCCCAGAAACCCTCCCCTTCAACAACGAGAAAAGGGCCCTTTGGTGAAATTGCCCATTCAACTCACCCCCGACTAGTTTTTATTACCATTAACTGCCGCGTCTGGAAACAGTAGCACTCATATACTTTTACTTCTGCATCCTGACCACTGCGACAGTCCAAGACAATACCACGGAGAACTGCACCTGAAAAAATCCGTCGAAAACAAAAAGCCTGGCAAGTCTATGTATACTATCTTGCTCAACATTTACCTTTATTTGTTTCGTGGCCATCTGGAGTTGTTGGAGTAGGGATAAGCTCCTGAAACATTCCTTGCAAATTACAAAGAATTCCATAAAAAAAAGCTTCTCCTGCCTTATTGCCAACCTCCTCTTACCCTAAGATCACCTTTCGCGAACACATTCCACTGAGTGCGATACATTACCTAAGCTACTTGGTAACTCAGGGGGTGGTATTACCCAACGATGGTGATGACAAGTAGTGCTATATGCCTACACAATCCTAACGGCACACTTGCCACATCCTACTGTTTATCCCCAAACTTGAAAATTGTCGAACACAATCTCCTTCATTGCGTCCCTATTCCACAATCTTGCTTGGTAATAGACAATCTCAACCGAGTGTACCACCATTCATAACCAGTAACTTTTACAATCCGGAATAACTAACGCATTCCTCACCTTGGATTGCCTCCCAGAAGAATTGTTCTCCATAATGAAGCAACAGTTTAAGTTGCTTCACAGTCCGCACAGCACCCTTTGTTTCAGTGGCATCCAGAACAGGTACCACTGAATACAAGGCACCATACTTTCAAATATAGTCAATTGAACAAAGTACCGTTCCAAAATTGGAGCACCTCCATGCCTTCTAGCACTGACCGAAAGATTTGAATTCTTTGGGTATCTATACCTAGCAAGAAATATTGCCGATGACATACCTATAGGGTTTCTTGTCCAGTATTTGAAACTGGAGAATATAGCAGCTTTTTTGAACCCAGCAGCTTTATCTAAATGGTTCATAACGATAACTACGAAATATCTCTGACAAGAACAATACGTCGTTGAGTAAGAAGAAATGGCTGAATCGATTAAACGGTAGATTACAACTTATTAAATTAATTCCACCTATAAAATATACTACCGTAGGAAATAGATAGAGGCATAACAAAACAAAGTGAAAGTTCTTGGCGCGAATCAATCCAGTTTCTACGATGGGTCCCCTGTACTCGACCTTCGCTCGAAATTGTAGCGACAATTTTGAACGCGCGCGATGGTCAGCGGATGCACAAGTCAGTAGTTTTGTCCCCCCCCCCCCCATACGAGAATGGCACCTATTAATCGACCGAGATGGATGGAAGGAGTGGGGAGCTGGGCGAGTATCGACCCGCGATACGACCACCAAACCACCGACCATACTTGTGTGAGCACGTGCCTATTGTCACGATACCATGTCCGCTCGTGAAGGCACTACATTTCCAACGATTCGCCTATTATCAGTGGATGACCACACCATAAGGGTTCAGCTTTATTTGCAATTTTTTCAAAACGAAAAAAACCACCCATAATCCTGCATACGTTGTGAAATTTCCTGACCCGAATGAGCACGAAAATAATAAAATCCATGCAAACAACATAAGGTCACCGAAACCATGTATATTCAAAGGAAATGAAACCAAAAGTCATTTATTCGAGTTTTTAGATCTAACAAAATGGCAAAATGAGACGACGAGCAATTTACACTCGATCCTGTTTTACACACCGAAATCCGTAAACCGTAACAAGAACAAATCAGGTCAAAAATAGTTATTCATACAATTCGCAAAATTAGTATTTCTACAAAAGTATCGTATCAGATAAATTGCTCGGCCCAAGCATTGAGACAATTGTAGGCACTCTTCGCATGATTTGAAGATACTCCAGCTGTATCCTGAAAAGAGGACAGTGGTTACTGAATAGTAAACATTTCCATACTTCACTTCGATGTTTTCAAAACAGCAAACTAAAAACGTAAACAAACATTTATTCTCCTCAAGTCTCTTCCCATTCTTTCCAACAACTGCTAATGAGTTATAACTGCTGATAAGAAAGTAATTTACAAAAACAAAATCAACTACTGGATTGAACATTTCAAAAAGGATCACTTGCTGATCACTTCCTTCATAAGGAAGAGAGCTGAGGAAAAAAGCGCTCCCCCCNCCCCCCCCCCCCCCCCCCCAAATCACCGCTTTTCAAATCAATGTGGGTGGGCCTCCATAGTGCCGCCTCAGAAAAGTTACTGGATAGCCAAATGGAGTGACAACTAATTATTTCAACGCTGATACTCTCTATTTGAGGGGAATGTCAATGTGGATTACTTTGTAGAGCTTACCTTCAACCATTCCGTAAACAAATCTTCATCTTTCTTAAGAAGTAAGAACTGTCCGAACAGAATGTAAGCCTGAAACAGTAGGTAGTTAATGAATAACGACTACCACTTCTAATAATTTTCTAGAATTAGTAATACAATATAACACAATTTAATTTATTTACTTTATCGAATCCAACTTCGGCAAGTTTAGCACCATATGTAGGTCCGATTCCAGCTATAGCGGTGACTTCTTTCTCGGCCATGGGCTCACCGATAAATTCGCGATGCTTCACTGATGTCGACATGGTGTGAACGGGACTTCAACCTTGAACAAATAATTAGTCATAGTCGAAACAAATCGTAATTTCGCTGAGCAGGCAAAGACACTAGAAGGTCGTGAAGCAATCGAAAAGGAGCAAACGAGCAAACGGGCAAGGAAATCAGTCGAACATTCTCGCCCTAGTACGTTTCCATATCCGATTTGGGCCTAGCCTCCAAACACGGATCAAAATATGGTAAAAACTTCTATACAAAATCCAAAAAATCAACAATTAATGGGAAAAGAAGTAATGCGTGAGTATTCATAACTCTGAGCCGCTGTTAAAAATGACTTTCTCATGCTACAAAGCGAAACCCAGATGAAATCGCTGAAAGGCTGCCCCGATCCATAACTTGTTAGCCGTAAATAAAAAACCTTTCAAAACAAAAAAAACTATTCTTGATGACGTTTTACAATATCGAAAATCAAATTGAAAAATCGGAGTCAATGAGGTCACTCATTCACAAGGATTGACAATTTTTGATCAAAGAAAACCCTGGAATCCTTCTGAACCACCAAGACGAAAATAACAAGCTCTAAAACATCAAATGGCGAACTGGACTTATGAATCGAGTTAAAGGTCAGATGGTAATATACTTGTAAGAGATGAAATGCGGTAATATGAACGCAGAGCTGTACTGTTTTATGGTAGTACTCAGACTTTGGTCGAAAAACGACAAGCTATTTATTAAAGATAAGAGAAGTCATCTCATCTTAGAGTGGATGAATAGTTCTGTACGTAGGGCGGGTTTGGAAATGTGGGCGGAGTTTGACCATGTCATTGAGAAATCAATTGTTGATATTTTCTACCATGAAGGGTTCAGAATTCGGCATGCTTGCGAAAACCCGTGAACTGACGAAACTATCAGAACTGTAGAATCGGAACCCTGTTAAGAAGTTCTGATAAAGGACAGGATGGAAGCAGGAAATATAGTTCAGCCCCGGGAAGGCAAAATTCTTCAGGAAAGTGGCTGGCCCTTGAAAACCAACAATTCTGAGTGAACAAGAAAAAGTCAATGAGCAATGTGAGGGCCTGAAACGATGATGCAGAAACGACATCGCTCTAATCAAAACATGACGAATAACACATGGGATGATGAAAGAGCGTCACAGTACGAACAGTCGCAAGTAACTCACACAACGAACTAAAGACCACGAAAATGTGAAAATTTCGGCTTTTAATTCTTCATTGAAGTAGAATTCATAGTTTCGAAACAATAGTAGCGCAAATATTGACAAGTTATCATCGATGACTCATTAAATTAACAACTAATGAAACAGGAAGCGAAGTCACCGTGTGATAAATATTCGAAACGACCCAGTGCGCGCCAATGCCACTTCTCACCTTGCAAACGTAGGGTGCGATTAGAGCACGATACCTTCAGCCCAACCCCGTAATCCACAAAGTTAATGTATTTTATATGAACAATACAACGAATAAAACAGTTTTTGACAAAATTTTCCTATGAAATGGCCACTATCTGCTCGAAGGTAAAGCGATTTCGCTCCATGGCGAGCTTGGCTTATTGAAAAAATTCAAGATGGTAGACATAAGCGTCATTAGGTCGGTGCCAAGGCCGGCTGTGCAAGACTTAGGGTTGACATGACAGTTTCATTCTTACTAGTTATCACCTTTTTTGGAGTGGTTCCTCACCAATTTTGCGTTCATGCATGCTAGCGGTCCTACGCCCCTTAAAGTTCCATAAGAATAAAAGATAAAGACTTAATGACCCATCAATCACATCTTTGGAATGCATCCCTGCATTCGACTTCCATTCAGAACCGTAATGGCACTTTGAAGGCGTATGTGGCCGATACTATGAATTGTGGTGACCAGCGGATGTACAAGTTAGTGTTTTATCCACCCAGACGGAGACGACCCTGGAAGGATGGAAGGCCTGGGCCAGTATCGATCCGAAATTCGAACATCGGAACATGCTCTTATGATAGTGCTTCACTTGCCCCTGCCCACTACTCGAATTTAAATGCTTCTAAAAGTCCACGAAGCAGTCGGATTCATTTCACAGGGATGAGACTCAGCACATGACTCCCCTGTCATTCTGCCATTTTCTGGGAACAACCAAAGAGTGCAACTAATCAGCTGATCAATGAGACCTCAAAGTAGATCCCGGATAGCGGAACCTCTCTCCGATTTTCCACGGCCAGCGGCAGTGGTTCCGCGGCGACTGCCGTATCCCTCCACTGACAATTCAAACCTTTCGCTTCATAACGCGCGATCGAGTGCGGCAAGTGCGGCACGCCGTTCGGGGAGAACATACCAGACCCCAAGATCCCAGTGTACGACGATCTTGACTGATGTGGTGCTTGTATTAGTTCAGTTGAACTACTTTTAACAGACTAAGGTACCAGTTGTGTAATGGCACTGGGTTTCTAAAAAAGCAAGCTTTGATCCTTTTGTATAACCAATTTGCTTCTTGGCGCGGAAGAAAATATCCATGCAGGAAAAAAAGATTTGAATTATGCCTGATGTGCTGTTAAAACGCAGTTATAAGCTCAAACCAAGGAGGCCCTTCCCTTGCCGAAAAGTTGCAGAAGAATGGCCTAGTTCAGGCATGGACCACCAGAAATATACCTGCATTCATAATTGTAAAAACATGGTTTTTGAGATGTTCACAGAAGGGGTAGCATGATTCCGTTCCGATCCTAGAAGTAAAAAGAGAAAAAAAAAGCAGTTTACCAGTTTGTTTGTTGTTACTATTTACTCTTCAGAAGCTCTATCTTGAACAAACTGAGCCTTTTATTTCACTATATTTAAAAACCCTCTCATACCTTATTTATAAGAGTTCCTGTCCTAGCTTACGAGTTTAACGAATTCTCCCTTAGAATGTCCATCAGCATTTCCAATGCTGTCCTTGATTAGAAACCCGCGAGCTATACGAAGCACACGTCACATAACAATCCATTTGCGGCTCTACGACGTTTTGTCTATTTCATTCTGTATCATGTTATGCATGAGAACCTACCAAAGACCACTCTAGAAGGTGGACATAAGGTCCTCCGCGGGACCATGTTTCGCACAAGAAATATGGGGATCCCATCTGAGGCAACACTACTGATTCCTCGGGACCGGGAACTTCTCCCTTGACATGGCGTCGCAAT